TTGTGTAATGATAATTCTACATTATTTCTTATTTTAATAAGAAATTCAAACTTGATTTGCTGACGTTTGTAAAAGTTTTCTAAAAAATTTAACGCAATAATTCTTAATTATGATATTTAAAGCGATATATACAACTGTGGGCAAAAAATAGTAAGATTTTTAAATTTGAATTTSCATTAGCCGAAATTTTTTTTATTTTTCTAGGTTGATATGACTGCCAGTAACATCTACGCCAAATGTCATATCAAAATAGTGATTACAGTTTAGTCTTTCTGAAGTACATAAAGTGCATTCGGAACATTTTTCGACGAGTGAAGTTATTCARCAAAGAAGTTCCATTGAATTTTGTGTTCGGAATCAAATTTCTGATGCCTAAACGTTCACAATACTGGAAAGATCTTCGGTGATAATTGTTTGTCGAGAACAAGTGTTTTTTGTTGGTACAAATTATTCAAAGAAAGWGRAGAACKCGTTGACGACGARCCACGACCATGAGGGCCAACAACTGAAGATCAATACGTCAACCAGGATGTCATGAAACGTATTATTACTGGCAAATGAGTCTTTTATCTATGTTTTCGACCCGAAAACACACCATAAATCGGTCGTATATCGTGGCAAAGGTGAGTCAAGCCGAAAAAACCACGTCAMRGCTRGTCAAGAATCAAGATTATRTTSACAGTTTTATTCGATTATCGAGGCGTGGTGCATTCCGAATTCCTTTCGAYCGGCCAAATTGTCAACAAAAAATACTATTGGAATATTATGTRTCGTTTTCGCGAAGCTATTCGCAAAAAGAGAGCCGACAACTCGTGGCTTTTAAGCCATGACAAAACACCATTGTACACTGTATTGATTCATATTGAGTTTTTTGTTTTTTGAGTTTTAAATAATTGAAGACAATAAAAGAGAATCGCATTGAAGGCTATTCCGCAAACTGACTTTAACAACTTTTTCGAGAATTGAGAATTACGTTGGCGTAAATGTATTGGGTCCAAGGGTGATTACTTGTGGATCCTAAGGATTGCTAATCAACTGAGCGTGCGTCAGAAGGCATGTTAGCGCTAGTACAGCTTGTTCGACATGCTACTCTTCAATACTTGACGATTCGAAGACACTTATGAATTTTGAGTATCGCTAGTGTAACAGAGTTTTCAATTTCACAAAGCAATATTTTTATTAAACAATATTACTGTAACAAAAACAGAAAGCTTGTGCTAAAGTAAGTTCGCCTCTGTTTGTATTGAGAAATTCTGCACTATTTTCTAAAAATCATTGAAAAATTACATTTCTTTTATCATTAAATATACCATACTGGCACTAAATCTGGATTTACAATAAATAAATAATAAGAGCTTGCATTTGTACCCACTTATATTTGTCGTTTTAAAATAAGTGATGAATATATACAAAATAGATGTATAGATGTATAATTGTTTAATAATTTTTTTTACTGCGTTTGTGCTTGATTTTTATTAATAATCAATTATATTAAATATTAGATATACTTTAAAATGTAGTTAACTTTAATTGCTGCATACCTTTCGTGTATCTAATATTTTTCTTTTGGCCACAAAAGCAGAAAACAAAAAATATAATCAGTAATAAATGTAATTGGAATTGTATCCATACGAGTATAAATAGTCTGCCATAGAACAGCATTGATAAATTTTTTAAATAAGAGCTTATAATATACATACACATATTATTAAATGTAGCAAAATATTTATAGTAAATAAATATAGTACTAAATATGTGCGATACACAATATGAAATTAATAAACGTTAAATAAGTCTAACAAATTAATTAATAATATTTTTTTTCTCCTCGCATAACATAAAAATAATTATACGAAGCGTTATTGACTTGGCGCTTCAGCAGCCGTTTGACTATTAACGAAAGTTGTTTGTGCCGCATTGTTATGAAAAGTKTAGTTAGCAGCTTGCACTCATACTATGTAGCTTACGGTACTACTWATCACACCGTTAAATGTTTCTTTGTTTACAAACAAATTTTAAGCGTTTCATGRGTTTACTGATCGAATTTTTTTATTGTCTTATTAAACTCTGCTTCGGAAACGGCGTCGCAATGGTCAAGTTTAAATATTTTTTTCCAAAAATTTCAGCATTTCTTTTTAATAATGTAAGTTTGTAACATAAAAAATTCGAATAAAATATTTCATTTTTTTTTATGAGAAAAAATTTTTGGAAAAAAGGCTGTTTTTTACCCGAGGAAACCCATGTAACCCCTTAAGAGCTTTTACGACTACTATAGGATAGAGTTTGTTGGAAATATTGCGGGAGGCCTTTGATGAGAATGGTACAAAAAACAAAAAAAAAACCGTTTATTAGCGGTACTATGTCATACCATATTGGGGTTTCGCCACTTTTTTGCCAAAAACTCAACTCTAATCGATCCACAAGCATACTGTGCGCCTGATTTGACTCCGTGCGGCTTCTGGCTATGCAACAAACTCAAAAGGCTAATGCGAGGATGTCGTTTTGAAACGATTACAGAGACAGAAACTGAATCGAAGAAAGTCCTGAAGGTAATACTGGTGTATATTCCGACTGTTTCGAAGACTGAAAAAAGCTGTGTCAAAAGTGTGTTTTGTCGGACGGGGATTACTTTGAATAGGACAAAAAGTACGAGCAACTTAATGAACTTCCTCTTTCTCAGATACCACCACAACTAACGGTCGAGGGTTTTTTGACGATAATTCGGAGGTTGCACGGATAAAAATTTTCGCTCTTGTGAACTTTTGTCAGAAGCAGTTGGTGGTTCGGAGGAGACAACAAAATGAGGAGATCTTAATTCAGGTGGTTTCAAAAAAAATTTCCTAAAGGTTTGGAAACATTATGAAATGAAAGAACTTCATTATATATTTCTAATTTAAGTTTCATTTGACGAATTCTTGCACATTTTTTTAAACCATACCGGTCGCTATACACCAGTTGCTTTACACAACAGAACTGTCTTCATATAGCCAACAAAGTAAATTGGTAACAAATCCAACAACTAAATATGTATTTTATGATATCTAATTGCATATTTGAAATAATCCAATATATGTCTGCATACATTTTCATCAGCACTGTAATGTTGTCGCAAACAGCTGATGAATGCTGAGAGCATGTAATCGCTACTCGGCTTCTTATAAAATACATATGTTATGTAGTAGCAACGCGAGACGAATATAAACATTTGTGCTCCTCCAAAAGCTCACGCGCATGCTCAGAGAGTGCTGTAGACAAAAAAACGACTAACGGCAAATATTATATTTAGCTTATGAGATAGTTTCGAGTAGTTTCACTGTTAAAATCGCGCAAATGTAGGCAGAGAACACAAGTCGTGTGTGGCGCCCTCAGTCAGAAAGCATATTCAATGYTGTAACAGCGAACATGTTGATTTAATATAATTGTATAATTTGCAATAAAAGTTGTTTTAATTTTTGTATACGAGTTTTACAGTTCGTTACATGGCAGAAAACAAACGTCTTTTATACACAAAGTGACAAGCTAAGAAGAGTTTAGTGAACCATTTTAATGACCTTAAATAGGCTTTTAACATAACGTGTTTGCGGAGTTTTCTGTGGCTGTGATTATATGCAGGTATGTAGATAAAAAGCACCATTGATTTGAAGCCGCTGTAAGATCTGGCTAATGTTGGTGGGTATGGTATGTGTGTTTGAATATTGTGTTGGCCAACAGCTGACTACCATCACACTTTCACCAAGAGAATTCGTGCAGCTGACTTGCACGGAGTTGCGTCGCTATGTGCCAGTTTATTCGTTTAGCGCTTTTAACGAAATTTTGTGCATACAACTCTAGACTTGTGCGGCGTTTCATAGCAACACGTTTGCCGGCAGGTGACTTTTGTTTACATACATAGTATTTTGTTTTTTATGTATGTATATATATATATTTTTTTACCTATAATCAATTAACAAATTCGAAATGCAAAGGGCGTAGTTCAAACAGTTGAACGATGATAGTTGTGAACAAGCGCCTTTACTAGCTTCTAACCACTCGGCAATCAACTGCACGCTTTTCGAGTGCTTACAAATCAGTTTTCATGTGAACATTTTAAATCATTTTGATTTTTATAGCCAAAGTGGAAGCAATGATTGCTGCTAGCGTGGATAAGTGTAGTGAATCAGTGAGTACTGCTAAAAAGGACAAAAGTGCTGGGTCGGAAAATCCGGCAGCTCAAGCGTATCTGGATCATTTAYTGCAGAATGGTGCACTGGAAGGAGATAGTGGCGCGCCAATGGAAATGCCACCGTGGTATGACGAAGCGCTGTTCAGAAAGTAAGTAGATGCAACTATTCATATGTAGATATGTAAATATTTTATATAATTTTATGTGATAAGACAAATGCACATGCGTATGTTTATGCATACACACATTACAATATTTGTGCGAATATTTAAAAAAAATTTTGACACTAAAACTTCAAATTTAACAATGTAAATTATGMAGCTTTGGAATTTCATATGTACATACATACGTTTGAACATTTCACAACGGTAGCTTTGTTAATCATATGTAAATTAATGGGTAAATATAAAATTTCAAGTTTCCCTGTTCTTTTATTACGATACGATGGTTTACAGCCAATAARTGATACGTGATGTGTTTTTTGTATTTACATACATATATCTTTATTCATATACATACATATGTACAATACGTGTACATATTGATGATTTCACTGTAACATTTTCCACGCTTGACTTAATTATGAAGAKGCAGACTTTGTTGTTAATTCGAAAACTCCGCCGCTGAAAAGCTCYTCGTTACTTACACTGTTTAAATAAAATGGAGTTAAAAATAGAGTTCGTGCTTTGGTGGCTCACTTCAATTGCAAGACAGCATTAAAGCTGAGCCGCTAATGCACCTAAAACCTTCTAACGGGCGGCATCATTTTTAGTTKTTTATAAAGTATCAGATTTTTAAGGCTAAAAACAAAAAATTGCCTTAAAATTTAGCATCATTGGTMAATTTTTTTATAAAGTTCATTCTTTTATTTGGAGTAAAAGATTGATCGTTACACATTTACGAGCATTTTTATCAACCATATAGTATATAAAAAAGTTTATTTAGCTCTCAGATACAATCTGCTACTAGAAGCCACATATTTGTAAATAAATGTTTTTTATGAATCAACAAAAAGCTCGCATACTTGGTTGCATTTTATAATTCATTTATGTTCGTTAACAACATTAAATGAAAACGACGCGCAAATACTTATTCAATTGAGATCGAGTGCGATAAGGCGTTGTGTATGTGTGCGTGATAAATTGCAATGCTTTGGTCATCTAGCGACGTGGAGCCCGAACTTGGATACTGCTGCTGCCGTTTAAACTCTAAAAAAAAAAAATGGATTTTTATATGCAATTATTTCGTCAAAATTGATTAATTTTGTCTTCAAATATTTTTCATTGTCAAGCTCGAAAAAAAA